AAACCGACGTCAACAGGCGAGTACTCGCAATCCAGGCTAAGAAGAAGCGGCACAAGCCCAGCAAGCGCAAGGGCAAAGCCAATTCCCAGAGCGAGCAGGACGCGCAGAGCTCCAAAGGGCCGCGTGCCGGTCAGGTAGCGGCTACCGCCGCGACCACCGCCACCACAACCACCGCCACCACTACCACCACCTACGAGTATGCTTCGGACGGACCCCCGCAGCGCGCTTATAACAGCGACAACGGGACCAGGTAACCCCGACATGTCCGATTGCCTGACGAACAGTCGGCCACAGCCGGCGGCACAAAGACTCATCCAGACTCGTTACATTATATCGCTTACCGGTGCACCAAGCGTCGCGACGACACGATGTTACACTGACACGCGTATCTCACGTTACTGTCACCATTACGACGTACACGCGCGTGTATTTGACGGTGACAATTAACCGTCGAAATCACCGGCTTGTTAAATTGCTGCGTTCTGTTTCAAGTTTGACTCCATTCCGTTATTCGGGTCCCTTGTTGCTGAGATATCGATAAATGGATGATTATATAAACATCGGAATTGTCGGGAAACAAAATTGTGGATAACAATGATTAATGTAAGATAATGACGTAAGATAATAATTTTGTGGGCAATCATCTCTAGTAATTATAGATAGAGAATTAAAAAATATAAATAATCATTCATGTAATTTTTGTGCTAATCAGAATCTTAGCAATAGTCATGTCGAAAATATTGGTTTATAATCTTTGATAATCATGTTTCTGAATTATTTGATAATAATTGCACTTGCTACATGGGAGTATCATCATAGAGATAGGCAATGTGAAACTTAGTTGATTACATTTAGTTGTTGAAGTCAATCATTTTCTCGCTTAATTTTACTCGCTCTTTTACTCGCTCACGAGGAAGAATCGATTGTTGCAAGTGTCGCGTTAGTTATAATAACTTATTATTTATGATCGATGAATCTGTCGTAGATTGGTACCATGTCATAGTTCCAGCAATGAAACGATAGAGGACGATGATGCATTCAGTACTGAGGATGAAGAGCAGGAGGATAGCAGTGACTACTGTAAAGGCGGATACCATCCTGTGAAGATAGGAGATCTCTTTTTAAATCGCTATCACGTCACTCGTAAGCTCGGCTGGGGTCACTTCTCTACTGTATGGCTCTGCTGGGACTTGCAGGTACGCTTCCAGGATACAGTAATCAATATTCTTTCACCTACATAAACACGGGACGTTTTGACACTATGCTGCAGGATAAACGTTTTGTGGCGCTTAAAATAGTGAAATCCGCATCCCATTTCACTGAGACTGCATTGGATGAAATTAAATTATTAAAAGATGTGCGCGATACGGATCCCATCGATCCTAAGCGCAATAAGACCGTCCAATTGCTCAATGACTTCAAGATCAGCGGCATTAACGGCCTGCATGTTTGCATGGTATTTGAAGTGCTTGGACATAATCTTCTTAAATTGATTATCAAGTCGAACTACAGAGGAATTCCAAGAAATAACGTTAAACGTGTCATCAGACAAGTTCTTGAAGGTCTCGACTATCTTCATAATAAATGTAAGATGAATGTTTAAGTCATCAGTTGATAGCATTGAAATTTACATACATATTTAGCTTTACGCAATAATTTTAATAATATCATAAATCTGAAATGGAAAGAAAATCGTTCAAAAATCACAATTGTGATTTTTCAATAAGTCTACGGCTTTATAGTATATGTTGAATTATCTTTCAGGTAAAATTATTCATACAGACATTAAACCTGAGAATGTTCTTGTATGCGTCGATGAGACTTACATACGAAAATTAGCTTGTGAAGCGACAGAATTGCATTCTATGGGAGCGAAATTACCGGTATCTTTGATTTCTACCGCGCCGAAGGAGTTTCAAGAACCGATACCAAATTCCAAAATGTCCAAGAACAAGAAGAAGAAATTAAAGAAGAAAGCCAAGCGCCAAAACGAACTCTTAAAGAAACAGATGGAGCAAATCGAGGAATTAGAGGAACAAATTAAACTTGCAAATAGCATGAGAGAAAATGGAGAAATTGAAACGAATAGTCTAGACCAAGATCTCAATACAGAGAGCGTAGAGGATAATACGGAGAGCAAAGGTTCTCCAGATATCTCAGATCCATCCGCAGCTTCCTTACACATGAATGGAGTAGATGGTTTAGCGGGTGGTGAAAAGATACAGAATCCATCGCCTGAACAATCTGAAAAGATGGACAACGTCACTTTGTGCGATGTGGAGAAAAGCTGTGGCGAAGGTGTATTATCACCTGATCCCGATGACACTGACGAATGTAGCGAAGGTAAAAGTAATTGCTATTATCAATTAACGAGCTTTCTTTTTATTTCTTAATGCAGTTTTCTATATCATCCATTATCTTGCTTGTTAGGTCGTAGATCATTAAATCCACCGGAAAGTAAGCAATTGAAACGAGCATCCATGTCTCCTCTGGATCCTGCTATAATGGACTGTGAAATAGAAGTGAAGATAGCAGATCTCGGGAACGCATGCTGGGTTCATAAAAAATTCACGGACGATATTCAAACTCGTCAGTATAGGTCGCTCGAGGTTCTATTAGGTTCTGGATATGACACCTCTGCCGATATATGGTCGACCGCTTGCATGGCGTTTGAATTGGCGACTGGTGATTATCTTTTTGAACCGCACAATGGCAAAGACTACTGCAGGTAACGATTATAAGATTCAATTACAATTATATAAAGCTTGTAAAAGTTGAAGTATTGAATCTTTTATTAACATTTCAGAGATGAAGATCATTTGGCTCATATTATTGAATTGCTGGGAGAAATACCGAGACGTATCGCTCTTTCGGGGAAGAACTCAAGGATATACTTCAACAGAAAGGGTGAATTAAAGCATATTACTGGATTGAAACCATGGGGTTTATACGAAGTATTAACAGAGAAATATGAGTGGACGCCGAGCGAAGCACGCGAGTTCGCAGAGTTCCTAATACCGATGCTCGAGTTCAATCCGAGCATGCGAGCTACCGCAGCTGAGTGCCTGAAGCATCCGTGGCTGCAAATCAAAAAGTGATCGCGTTTTTTATTGTTTTATCTGTAATATCCCCACAACTTTCACCCCGGTCCTACCGCCCAGTCGCAATCGTAAATCGAGAGTGTGATAGGAAGCCGAAAACACTTGTAAACGTCAGGTGTTATTTCCGTACTGAAAATCATAATTCAGCGACTCAATTTGCATACGAAGAGCAAAGTGCGTCGTTTCAAGAGCGCGTACACATACATATATACACACTAGAAAACTGTTTGATATAATATGAATTACAGAAATAAATTGTAACATACATTGTTATATTAATCATACGTATGCTACAAGCGTGTCTCCGCGTGGGTAATGTTACGAAACTGAAAACGTTTCGAAAAGATTGTTATATACCCTTTACAAATGGTGATTTGACAATATTGCGGAAGTCGCCTCAAGGAAAGTCGCCTCTCGAATGCAGCGAGCGAAGTGTCGCAAAATCCGGATTTGTTAGAGAAGAAGATCTTGCAACATTCCGCTGATTTCCACAAAAAGAAAAAAAACGGCCGCGCGCGTGCTTCCTAACGTAACACTCTCAATACATCGGCTGACCATTTGTAGTTGTACACTTGTTAAATCGTGTTTTTAATTAGTGATGAAAGAACTTAAATTAAAAAGAAATTTTTCATAGTACTTTATATATACATTATTTTACACACATTCGTGTCGCATTCTTCGTACTCGTCATTTAATTTATCTATGAATATATTTCAAGAGTCGTGGGATCTATTCGTAATGCGCTGTGAAAATATTGGCGGACTCGGTATCGTGTTTGGTTTAAAATTAGGACTCATTGCCTTGACTCAGTTATCCGTGTGTACTTTTATATATCGCACACACTGGTCACTGTAAATTCTTGCCAACAAACTCATGAAGTCGCAACAGGACAGAAATGGCTACTTAATTAATATTTTACGTCTACCTCAATATATATGAGCCGGTTAGAAATACTCATCAGCAGATGCACATAACGAGGGACCGCATTGAAATAAATGTAAATTGAATTAGAGGGGGTCTATATATTGTAGATAATTAAGAGTTGATCACTAGATTCTTGGAATATATAATTTATGCGGGCGCTAATTGAGATAAGACAATATTGCATGCATATACGTTTTAGGATTTTATGTTTCATCTAATTTGAAATTTTTATATAAAATTTCAGAATATTTTCTCTTTTTATCGTTATTGTCAAGATAACTGAATTTTGACAGCATACGATAAAACTATATTTGTAAATGTTATAAAAAATTTATATATACTTTTGTAGAAACAAATGTACATATAAATGACACCAACGAAACCTAACAGCATATCCAATATGCGATTTACTTATGAAAATTTGTATTTATATGCATCTTGTCTTATTCCATTGCGCCTCACAATACTGATATTATAATGAATTTCTGTTTGTTATAAATTTGTTTACGTCGCTAATGCGAATGCCTGTATACATAATGTACAATTATGAAAAGAAAGAATATCTATATTGCGAATAGGATCTTTGCAAACAGGATGAGAGCAGTGGTAACAAGAGTAATGTTAGTATCATGCAAACTCCTTTACTTTATGAATACTGACTGATTACAAAGCTCTCTGCCGATAATAATTGTCTTCTATTTTATAAACGCTAAAGCGAAGCAGTGCGTTCCACTAGACCGTTTATGTCGCGTATATACTTTCCTCTATGCACGAATTCAATTCATGCTTCCTGCAGAATGTTCTGTTTCGCTTCGCCTGTCAATCTCAAGTTTCACAAAAGGACTCGAACTATGTGGAGATGCATACATGGAAGTATTCATTTCGTCATGATGTACAAATGTCTTGTCGCTTACTGTATTTCTATATTTCTTCCCGGGTAAAAGAGGAAAATACTCTAAAAATGTACAGCATTTTAGATTTTTTTTAAAAACGTAATATGTGTTTTTAATTTCTTTTCGTTTAATTAGCAATATGTTTATTTGATCACACGTAAACATTTCAACATGAAATAATGTATAAGACGCAGTTTTTAATTTATTAAAAATTGAGCATTTTTATGAAATATGTTTGCTAATTTTCATTTATATCTTCATTGTATGCTATGTTATTTAGCAATGAATCAAATTAGTTGAAAAATTAAAAAAGAAAAACATTCGGTATTCTGAAATTTATTAATATATAAATAAGAGATAGATATTCAAAATACGATATTCAAAAGAGAAAGTGCCTCTTCTACCCGCGCTATAATTAATATCAGATAGAGGAAGAATGCGTTTATATGTCCTTTTTTATCTCGGCAATACAAAACCTGATGCATTTTAGTTCGTAACACGTTATTTCATATTTCGCATTTCCCCTGCATCTTTTTCGTGAATCTCGTATAGTCTTCAATGACGGCGTAATCTGTGCGATAATCTGTACAGTATATAGCTAAATTTTAGCGGCTGATATTCAATACTGTTCTTGTGAAATACGGCCAGTGAAATCCATTATTATAATGGCAACGATCACGATTCGATTTAATTTTTCCTGTAATGTTCTTCGTTACTCATAGTAGAGAAGACGCTTTAATCATATCGAGCTATTGCTCCGCCTGGCTTGACTTTTCAGTTCCTGATGCCACTTGTAAAATTTCGGAACTCACGTATAATTTTCTGAAAAACACAAGTATAAAGATTTATAAATTCCGAATCTCTCTGTGTAACCGAGGATCGAAACTGATGCAATCTCAGTGAATTTAAGTTTCCAGTTGTTAGAAAATAATAGGCATGTGAAGAATCCTTTATAAATAAGCAAAATAATTAAATCCTTAATTATTACGGACATTTTAATTAACAAAATAAAAAGAATATTTGATTGTTTAATTATTTTAATATTATTTTTCGAAGCAGTCGAAAATTATATCACAAATACGAATTGAGGTAATTTTTACGTGTCTTTAGGTAGTAAAATTGAATTTAATAAAATTTATGTGCACACACACACACACACACACACACACACACACACACACACACATACACACATACATATATATATATCCGATCGGTTTCTATCTTCGATTAAGAAATTATGGAGAGATCGATCGAAGCAACTAGAGAATTCGCTTCCGTCGATTTAATTATCAATAATCGTTGATTAGACCTAATGATTTTATTAGATATGTCAGCGTAGGTAATCGCGTCCCAATCGTCATTAGATCAATCGGAGCTCAAGTACCGTGTTGCGGCTTTTGCGACTTCACAAGTCGTCGCGTCTGATCGTTTGCACTGTCACCATAAATATATCTCATATTAATATATTATATGTATCATACATATATATATATTAATATTTCTAGTGTGTGTAT